ATGACTTCTGTAACATGTTTTGAATAAAATATTATCAGTAAAAACTTCAAATCATGTCCTTTCTAATAATTATTAGAACTAGAAGAACTTTAACTCAGCAGAGTTTCTCCCAGGATTTTTTTTTAACCGTGGTGGTGACCTCTCATGTGGGGGTTTGATAAAATCTGGTTGTCCTCAAAACATTTTGGTTGTCCAAAAATATCTCAATAAAAATATAATTTAATAAGTAGGCTATATTGTTCTGTATACAAAGTGTAATTAATACAAATGTTCTCAGTCAGCAGGTTGACAGTTTTAGGAGCTGCTTGAGGAGAACTTCCTCGTTCTCCTCCTCATCCTCTTCTTTGAAATAGAAATAAAAAAAACAACATCCATTAGCTTTCTGCTTACAGGTCAAACATTTTTATTTAAATAGGAGTAWACTACATGACCTTATTAAAAGTTACAGTTTGGTGTTCTTAGGACTGAAGACTTTCTGAGGAAAGAAGTTTTTAAACATCTTTTCTAATAATTTTAGTGTTTTCAACTGAGGTGCTTTGATATATTTATTTAAAATAAATTATAGCAGAGGAAGTTCTCTGCACAGAAAAAAAAAATACTGTTTTTTTAACCAAACTGACAAGTTTCTCCAGTAAAATTATTGTGTAATTTAAAGGCAATGAAACACCTGGTTAAATTTAGAAGGTATTATGATTAACTACAAACATCTGAAGCTGACTCAGAGAACTCTGTGATTTTAGAAAAAATAAAAGTCAAATGTAAACACGTCTTTAAAAGACTCCCCTCTTCCCACCCTGCGCAGCTGCGGTCAGCTCACCTCCACCCCACCCACGTGATTAATACTGTTTTTTTGCGTAAATTACAAATTTTTGACGCTCATTAAATGCGTTAAACGTCTGAAGGGGTTGACATGTATGAACTCCCGGGCTGGTCGGAGCTGCGCTGCAGGTGGACATGTTCACTGCACCTCACTTTAAAAACAGTCAGCTGATCTGTTGCGGTTTTGTTGCACTCGTGACGTGAACACACGGGGGGTGGGGGGCTGCGAAGTGCTTTTAGAAATATAATATATATAAAATACGACGTAATCCTTGGTGGAAAATAGCTCAGGTGAACGCCTCCCGGGAAAACCCCTCAGCGTTTGCTGGACTGAGTGAAGCTGACCCCCAACCCACAGACAAAGAAAGGCAGTCAGACAGCAGGACCCGCCCTGCTCTGTTC